AATCAAATAGATCGTTTCTAGGAAAAACTTGAACTCAATATTCAAATTCTATCGAGAGAAAAAAAGCCGCGAAAAAATCCGCAATAATTATGCATCAACCTAATATTTTTAGAGAACTCCCAGAACTGATTTCCCTGTATACCAAATGTACGAGGTAATGAGCTTCCTATGCCAGTGGCGGTACCTAACTCTAGAAGTCTTTGCATATTCAATCCCGTTTCCGGGATGCGCCCTCGCGTTCCACTCCCATTCAGAATCGTAGTGGGGTATTGAATGCGGATGTGCCCATTAAACGACGTGCGGTGGCCAGCCGATGTACAAGTCAGTATTTTTATGCTCCCAGACGAGTCTGGAAGCAGTTAGCCGACCTCGAAGAAATGGAGTACTTGGGTGGCAACAGATACAAGATCCGAACCGGTGTTAATGCGTGTGTAATACTGCGCCGTTTGCCACTACACCACCTCCGCATATGTAGCTGTGATGAAATTAAAGAGCGCGCAAATCTCACGAGCTGTTACATTAAAGCATGGTTCCGCCCCTACCGCACAGTACGTCGCTAGCCACGTGTGCAGCGTGACCTCATTGCCTCGACGATAGAATCGCACGTCCCCCACCTCAACCACCGAGCCTGTATATTGCTTTGTGATTGAGGGGGCGAATTGTTCCTAATATCATTTTGGGAGCCCCATATTACTGAAAAGTCGTGAATTTTCATCGTAACATTACCCGTTTTTATTTGTTTTTTAATTCAACAACTTTGTAGCAACAAGCTTTATTTTATTGGTCACACAGACATCGTACTACCACATCTATTGAGAAAGATAATATTGTATGTATCACTACAAGTCTCCTCTTGAAATAGCGCAAATATAATTCTTAGTAACAAAACAAATAAATCACTCCTCATAGTGCAAATTCGCTCCCGTATTGCATCGAAAATAGCTATGCAGTCATGGAATGAGGCGTGTGACTGTGTTTTATAATGTACAAATTCATTCCGCGAGAGCGCCCACTACTACGACTGTAACTCTATCGGTATGACAGCTATACATGATATCATGTGGTAAAATCCTTTGAAGAAAAATTTCAACAATTAGAAAAACGAAAGTAATAACAACAGTAGAAGCATTCTAGCTCTGTCACACACGTACACTTCGGGCTCGGGAATGTGAAAGACCATCGGTAGCGCCAGTAGCATAAATCCTCTTATAGTAGTAACGATTACTCTAGGACGAGCTCTCACCGTTTTTATCGGCGCATTGCTGAAATTATTACGTGAATGGGGCAGCCACTGTGTGACTGACGTTGTTCATTTCTTATTTCCAAGGATGCCTTGGCCACGAGAGAGAGACGAAAAATTCGTATGAAGCAAGGAAAGAGTGCAGGAGTAACGGTAGTATCTGTCAGCGCAAAATCGCCAGAGCGGCTATACCACGCTGTGACGAAGAGCCGGCTGCCGACTTTGAGCAGAAGCGCGATAGCTGTCTAGTTTGAACAACAGGAAGAACAAACGAAAATAGGGGATACAATGCAGGCACTGAGGAAGGCGGAGTGTTGCATCACGTATAACGAAAGTGGGTCGCGTTTTGAGTTACGAGAGCAAAGCCTATGGTTAGGTCTGATGGAAGATCTGAAGATATCGTTTGGAGGGAACTGTTCGGTCTCTAGATGGTGTAAACACCCAAGCCTGTTTTGTCGATTGCTGTCTTCACAGCCCAGATGGGGATTCTAGCGGAGAATTCTGAGTTACTAGCAAAATCGAAAAAAGTTCAAGTACAAAGTTGTAATTTAGTATATCCAATGTATCCAATGCATTATTGAATCCATTCAAGTTTAGGATAGTTTGAATAGATAGTTAAACCGGTACTATTTGGCTTGAACTGTTTCGCGTGTTGCAGTGCTAGAGTAGACTGACCTCATAGGGGCCTATCTGAT